CAACAACGGGGGGTGGGCTCTGAGAATGTTGGGGGATGTGGGGAGCAGGCCCCTGTTTGACCCGTGGGTTGGTTTTCAGTTTGGTGAGTGGGGGGGGATCTTCTCTTAATGACCCAGGAGGACGGGGGAGGGGGGGCAGATCACCCACTGTATCACTGTGACTTACTAAGCAGGCTTTCACTCCAGCTTGAGGAAGTCAAGGTGATTACAGTGAAACATTTTAAATTAGCATTTTTCTTATTTTGTCGACAAGTGAAGTAAAGTTTATGTTCAAATCCCGAAACATTTTACTGTGTAAGTTTAGCCTTTGACAGCCGATCAGTTTTTGTTTTTACCATAACAGTTATTTGCCACAACGGAATATTAGAAATATATAAGTGTAGTTCAGGCCGAGTTTTAGCGGTTGTTTCATGTTCCAGTACTTGCATTCTGTTGATTAGCTGTGTTACAACACAGTAGCAGGCTTGTTGAGGTAATGAAATCTCCGTGGCGATGAAAGCAAAAGACATTTCCGGCTCCTCGCTGTCTCAGCCTGACTAAAATGAGCTCTTCATTCGTCACGCTTCTCAATTAGACACTAGATGCGGGGATCAATAGAAAGGATAGATAAGTGCAGCCAGACCCTGGGAGCGCCACTCTTCCTGGGTAATGAGGTGTGTCATGTCTCTCTGTCTCTCTGTGTATATCTATGCTTCTTTGCCAGTGATGGACACTGAGCCAGACCACAGGGCAGGTCCCACATGTCACATGACCTACATGCCACTGTTTCAGACCCAAACATGCTGTGATTCATGCTCATGTGCTTTTCCGTAGGAAGAATTCTATAGTTTCCTGTTGGGTTGTTCTCATTATTGTTAGAGCCATAGATAATATTTTTATTTCACATGGCATGTATTATGCACTTAATAATTCCATATTTGTGTGCAGTTATATCTGTTTCTGTCATAAACCAAGACCCCTGTGTTGATAGTTTAGGTATAACCTCGTCTGTAAGACACATTTATGGTTTTGGATGGTAGAAGTTGGATGGAAGGAAGGATTATAGAAACATGGAGTAATACAGCTTTTTGACTGCTAGCGTGGATTGTGAAACCCTTTTTTATTTTAAGAAGATTCTGTTAATGTTACATTTATAGATAGCGATTTTTTTTGCAGAATTTTGCACTCGACAATTGCTTCACTTTCTGGAATGGTATAGATACTGGATCTGTTACCATAACAATTATTATTATTATTATTATTATTATTATTATTTATTACTGGTCCAAGCGGAGTAGCTGATGGAAGCATATTGTAAATTATTTTTGTTATTGTAAAGTGTGCATTTTACAATAACAAGCAATCTGCCCATGAGTCTTTATCAAGCAAAGAAGTGACACAATTTTAAATCCTCCATGGACACCAAGTGTGTTTACAGTTTTGCCTGCTAATGAGTATTTGTACCTAGAGACTGGTACTTACTGTATTCGTACCTAGAGACTGGTACTTACTGTATTTGTACCTAGAGACTGGTACTTACTGTATTCGTACCTAGAGACTGGCTAGCAGCAGACGATCAATGGTCAAGTGGTTCTGTAGAATACAGTCTGATCGGCAATACAGTTTTATATATGCCCCATGAAAGCATCTACTCTGTCATCCATCCGTCTTCCATGGGATTTATCCAATATGGTGGCATGGGGCCCCAGAAAGAAGTTATATTTATATAATATAATCAATAAGAACATGGGTGGTGTGAAGAGTATTGGCTTTGGAAATAGACCTGCAGGTTGTCCCAGCATCTCCATAGAGCAGCTTTTCAGAGGTACTGTAGCTGTGAAATATCTATCTGTAATAAGAGGGTAGACATTAAAGTTACACTGAATAAGAGTGACGGCGTTGTAGGGCTAAACATATGCACCTTGCTGAATAGTCGACATGCCTATGCCTCACGGAAGAGGGGGCGTGACCTCAGTGATGTTGCCGCCCACAAGCTCACGCTTGCCTGCCATCTCTGAGGTATTGATGAACCTTCCTCTTCCTCAGACTGTCACCTCCAGAGAGAGGTCAGGGCACTTAAACAGATCCATCCCGGACCCTCACACTAAAGGATTATCAGTACAGGTGTATCACTTACTGTAACTGTTCTGTCACTGGCAGCGGTCCCACCGTTTCCAGTTTGCTTTATCTCTGTATGCTTTAGCCTGTGGCCATTGGAGGTGCCTTCGTTTTCCGTACAGCTGCAGACCTCATAGTGCTGTTTATTTTGACATCATTATAATTTTTCTGTTGCAAAAGGATATAAATAACCTGAAGGCAGACTGACTTGAGAGGCTTGTTTTATGGTATTTATTTAACGTGATTTTAGGGAGATCTTGTGGACAGTATCCATGTTGCTTTCATTCACCCTCATTCCCACGCATGTGCAGACTGTTGTGGCTCCACCCCGGTACGAGGGGAACCTCTCCCAGTTTAGACTGTGAAGTGCAGAGGGCTGCTTCCGGATGGTCCGGCTCCCCCGCACGTCGGCCCGGAATGGGGTTTCTAACGCAGGCTTTCTCTCTGTAACCCCCCCAGGACAGCCTGCACTTCCCGGACTCCACTGGGGCGTTAGGGGTCTCCCTTTATACAGCCTGGCTGGAGCTGAAACATAAGGAGGTAATGTGGGCCAGCCTGGCTCTCCGGTGGTGTTGCCTCTGGTTCTGATCTCCAGAACCTTCTTGGTTTGGGGTCCCCTCTTTCACATCTGGACCGTTAAGGCCTCGTTGACCCGGCCCAGCCCAACTTGGCTCTTGACCCGTACACAGATACAGGCTAGTCAGTGCACACGTATGAATTTTTGCATATAAATAAAGGGAATTATTAGCTAAATCTACAGTGAAGAGCTGCTGTCAGGACCAGCATGCACTGCGTAGTGCTCAGTAATTTTTCAGTAACGATGACGTTGCAGGCTTTATGGCATCAGGTGACAGATATTGATTGATGACTGGCATTAATTAGACTCAGACTTTGTCACGACTTGTTAGCAGAATTCAGTGTTATGGTCGTGAAAGTGAAGGGAGACACAGCCAAAGGGGAGATCGAGTTTCCCTAGGATATTAAAAAAAAAAATCATTTTAAAATGATTTTGACTAATTTTGAGCTGCAGTGTGTTGAGTCTTTATAATTAAAGTTTCCATGGAATGCTACTCCAGCTACTCAAGCTGAACCATAAGAAGGGTATCGACTTCCCTGTGGTTATGGGCAGCAGCAGGTTGCATAAAACCCACCTAGAATTATCATATTTTGCTGGTTCCTCCCTCTCCCACGGTCCTGGATCTGCTTTACGGGGGTTGGGGGGCACCTCTTGCTCTTCTGTATTTTAGGGACTTGAAAGCGTGTGTCACTCAGCAGGTCTGGACGCTGTACTTGTGACTGGAAGGTCGTCGGTTCCGATCCTGTGGTGATTTGCTTCACCATTGGGTCCCTGAGTAAGACCCAACTTCAGTTGCTCCAGGGACTGCTGGCCCTGCTATTCAGCTGTATGCTGCTTTGAATAAAAGCATCTGCTAAATAAGTGAGATGTAAGGGCGAGAGACACATCAGCCAGCGTCACTGGCACTGTCTGGGTGCCTCCTGGGCATTGTAGCGTTTACCTGGGCACTAGGCCTCAGCTCGTATCCCAGACCTTGCATCGCTCCCCATGCATTACCTCTAACCCTACAGGTATTTCACCTTTTCTATTGTAGCCATAAAACCTGGCATTTACACTTCATAACCTCGCTTGTAAGCCTTTGTAAACAACGCGGAGAGCTGCATGGTGTTTGTTAATTAAACTGGGTTCATTTCCCATAATTTTAGCCCAGAGGTGCTCTTCTTAATCGCCTAATACCTGATTAATCTCGTAATTTTCCCTGCTCTGCGCTGACTTGCCTCTATGTAACCTTTAGAAGACACACCACACTTGACACCACTCATAATTTGGACTCAGGCAGTACTTACGCTGGCTTGGTTAAAAGCCAGGCCCATCCTTAAGCTCCTCTTACCACACGAACCACGCTGCTTCATCTTCTATCCTGGCATTTGACAGACATTTCTATCAGTAGCTGCAAGTCATTTTTGCTGACATCTCATTTTTATCTAGACATTTCATCTGTCCCTGGCAGTGAACTGTTTATCATTAAGATCAGTCCTGATTAACATCAAGACTGGGCTTTTTGCATAAATAGTCTTTGCTGAGAGTAGGATTCAGCAGTGGCTGTAGTCTGTTCGTTTGGTAGTGAGCACCCTAACCCTAACCCTAACCCTAACCCCCACCCCCAGCACTGCTCGGAGGATGCAGTGGCTCCAGATACAAGTGAACCATTAAATTAAACGGTGGTCGGGGGGAAAAGCAGAGATCTTCTCTTCTGGTGGATCTACAACAGCAGCACTGCAGTTTATAGACCAACACAAAATTCTTTTAACACATTTTCTCATTGGTTTGCCATCAGCTAGTAATTACTGTAGTCATACCAGCTTAACAGTGTTAGAAGCAGCGTCTGTGTTAACATGAGGTGCTCAGTATCTAATAAAGTCCTGGCTAACCGTCTGAGATTTCCTTCTTCTGAGTAATCGTGGATGGTCAACTCCATCTGAATTTCCAGCAGTAGCTTCTTCTAAAATAAGAATGTTTTTCTCCTCCAGTGAGGAGGCGAGAGTTCTGGTGTTTTGTGGATTAATACATTTTGACAGATGCCTCATTTGCAAACCATTCAGCCTTACAGAGACTAAACACAGTAACGATGCTGTCATTGAAATTCAGAAGTGGGGTATTTTCTCTTCCTTTAGTGTGGATTTTGTAGTTACTGTGAGTTTCCACACTCTTTTCCTCCAGTGTAGTTGAAATACAATGTTTTGTCACAAAACAGAGCCAAAGAGACCTGGTTTTGGGCATAACTCAGTTTTTATAAATAATGCAGATACAGTGTTTTGCATTTGAAAGGCAACATTTATAAAACCATTCATGAAAAATTACAATGTTTGGTTCAATACCTCATAAACAAACTATCAGATAGGTCTGTTTTCCAGCAAACTTCTCTCCTTTTATGTTAATTTCAGTTCAATGTTGGATTTCAGACCTCAGCCGCCTTTATCAGCCCCTGGAAGGTTCCGGAGTGGCACTTAGGAGAATCCAGCTGGACGGGTCACATTAAGCACATTGGACGGCATTCCAGAGCCTTAAAGCCTAATGATGCTGAAGCCATTTGGAATAAATAGTTAAAGACCAGATCCACATACCTCATTAAACATAATTTTTATATTGTGTGTTTGCGTTGTCTGGATTTCACAGGGGGAAGCAAATAAGCCCTGGTGAATTTAAGGTTATCTAGCCAATCCTGTCATCTAGTGGACCTGATTCTATAAAAAGAGAGACTTCCTCAGTTATTATTAGAGTCATCCATCTGGTTTTTATAGAAAGATTTGACAAATTCGGCTTGGTAATGAATCCCACATTCCTGAGCTTTTGTTGGGATGAAAGCAGGGAGAATTCAAGTCCATAATAGAATTGAAACACTTTACAGGGAAACAATTTACATTACAGGAACCTTCATAAAGCATACATAATGCATTCATAGAACACTCTATGCACCTTCATAATACATATAACATTTAGAAGCAGCATGTAAGTATACCGTAACATCCTAAAATACCCTGATAACTTCAATATACATTAATAACAAGCATTATATGATTGTAGACTTATAATGTTTGTTATTACTTGTATATTACAATTGCCATGTCTTGTTCATTGAAAGTGTTATGAATACAGTCCTGATGTGCTGATTCATAGTTACATGCTGCTTATTAATGTTCTAGGAATGCATTATGAATGCATTATGAATGCATTATGAAGGTACACTGAATGTAAATTGTTACCCTTTATTGATCCCCTCGCAGAACTCCCTCTTCACCTACCCAACCGTTTTTGAGACATGCACACACACACACAGTCACACACACACACACACACACAGTCACACAGTCACACACACACACACCCCTGGAGCTTGGGGTTAACGGCACAGAGTGTTAGTCCACTCATCCACACAGCGCCCCCTAGTGCAGAGCCTCTGAGAGTGGCTGCAACATTCTCCACAACTGTTGTGCGCTCGATAGTGCTCTTTAAATCCACAAGTCACTCTCACTTTAGTTGCTCAGCAGTACCAGAGCTTTCTGTCAGTGATTTATTAGCTCTGATTTTTCTAAGGCAGTTTTATCTTCAGTGATCTCAGTTTTTTCAATATAATTTACTGTGTGTGTTCATGTGGTTTCTGGAAGTTTCTCATTGTCTTGGATGAGCTGATATCTGATTGTCACGCAATGAGTGTTTTGTTCGCTTGTTTTGTGTCTGTCTGTCAGCGTGACTGATCCCCCGAGCCTCAGGCTGCTGGCGTTAGCAGTGAAGGCCGCTCGCATGGGGTGGTCCCACTGAGGTCTACAAGCAGCGTCCCTGATTGTCAGAAAGGTCACGAGCTGCCCAGTCCTCCCCATTTATATGTTGGGGAGGGGTGTAACCCTGGCCTGTAATGTTTAAGCACCGCAAATTTCAATTTGATGCTTAATTTAAAAGGAGCCACTTGCAGAAGACTAACACAAGGAAACCCCAAAGACCGTGATTCGAAGGTGGTCGGTTCAAATCCCAGAGTTGGTACAGTGATTTCACTCGCTTGAGCAAGGCCCTTATTTGCTAATGGCACGGTCTGACCCTGCTTCCGCTTTGGATACAAGCATCTGATGAGTAAAAAAATACTTGTAGCAGTTCATGTTAAAGCTGAATGTGTCGTCCCACAGCTTGTTACATGCCAACTCTCTCCCTTTCCCTGCTGACAGCAGTGAGATTACTTGGACAGTTTAACATTTTTATTCAGTGACTCTAAGTACCTATAATGACTTCTGGCAGCCCCTGTAATATGGCCTACAGGAAAGTCCCGGGCTTCGTCAGTCATCATCCTGCACCGTCACACTCCCACAGGAAACTGACTGAACGTGTTCACACCCAGAACAGGAAGAAAACAGGGGCAGCGTTGGGCTGGGCGTGTGGTGCTGCTGTGACATGACCCAAAGCCGCAATCCATCTGCCCTTAAGGCTGACAGAACTGAACCCGGCCGACCCGCTTTACTGTCCAATTAGGCACGTGTTTGGGTGTTTCCCGTGTGATAAAGATTAACAGGAAGTCCCACCCAATTGGCTAAACATCAGCCGCTCAGTGAATGTTAACAGCTGCCCTGGGGCATGTTTGAGGTCAGGCGTGAAAAGGCCGGTGTTTCTGCTAACAAAGGACGTCCTGAAGGCTGGCTACACCAGCCTGGTGATCTGTTGTATCCCTCATTGTTCTTGTGGGTGAGAGGTGTCCTCCTTATCTTCACTTGTAGGCTTTTGTAAACGACACCGCAAGGAAACCTTTCTGAAAGACCCGACAAGCTCACGTTACTTTGAAATACTCCATCTATGATTTTTTTAAAAACTCTTCTGGGAGGTGGTAATTCACCTTGAACAAAGACCTCATAAGAAGGTCCCTTCTGAAGCAGCAAGATTGATCTATATTTCACACAAGCTATTGGTTTAGACACTTAACAGCACATTACTAGACTTGCCTCTCTATGACCCACTCAGGTGAAGCTGTTTTCCCTGCATAGTTTTGTAAAGGCCAAGCCTTAAATATTCATGTAGTTATGGGCTATTGTAGGATAGAATGGATACTTCAAGCCAGCTAGTTTCTTGTGTCTGCATTCTGCTCTGATCTTCTGCAATTGAAGTTGACACAGTGGTGACAGGATGGCTTTGATGCTCATTTATGCTTCATGTCATGTGTGCATGTTTCATGTCATGGTGACATCGTGGTCACGTTGTGGTCATGTTAATTGTGGTCATGTCGTGGTCACATTGTGGTCATGTCGTGGTCACATTGTGGTCATGTCAATTGTGGTCATGTTGTGGTCACATTGTGGTCATGTCAATTGTGGTCTTTCCGTGGTCACATTGTGGTCATGTTGTGGCCTAATTGTGGTCATGTCGTGGTCACATTGTGGGTGAACGCCTCAGACTGCAGTCACATCATGATCAGATTTCCATTACATCCCAGCCCATCATCGGACGCCTGGGAGTCCCTCACGGACCCTCGGGAGAGAAGGTGGCGGTGGTCGCCGTGGATGACTGTGACATCGCCATGGCAGTGCGTTTCGGCAGCCAGCTAGGGAATTACTCCTGCGCCGCCCAGGGGACCCAGACAGGACCAAAGAAGTGAGCTGGCATCCGCTGTTTGCTACCCTTCACGCCGTCCAAACCACACCACACTGCCGAGGTCATGTGACCTGGATGCTACGCCCTGGTCAATGGCGTTTTTGTTCTTGTATTGTGTCGGTAGATGAAGGGAAACGTTTCTGGTGGGTTCTGCTAAATTATAGATGATTACTACCCGATATTAAACCCACCGTTCTCTCTGCCCATCTCCCCAGACAAGATCCTTGTTTATCGCCCTCCTTAAAGGCCATAAACTGGAATTACTGTCTGAGTGTCATGTTTCCAAAGTTCATTCTTCTGATATCACTGTCTGCGAGCAGGAACACTGACCCATAGGCAGAACAATCGAACATATAAGCTTTGGAAAAAGAACTCAAATCACCATGGATACCAATAGGGACATATACAGGGCAGGGCCACAGCTGAAAGCTGATTGGCCCCAGAGTGCCTCTTACCCTGTCACTTGGCTAATGATAAGGTCAGCCCCTCTATATGAATTATGGCCCCACTTATGCCCCCCACCTTAAAAAAGCCTAGAATCAGTCTTCAGTATGAAAAAAACAGGGCCCTCAAACCTTAAAAGCAAGAACCTGTTTTTTTTTGTTCCTGGAACTGAATTTCTTTGTAGCCCCAAAAAGGCAGTCAGGTGACCTTTTTTAAACTGCAGCAACAGTTTCGCTGTTCCAGCCTGGGCCATGATGTGTTGGGATATTGTTAAGTCATATGATTTCAGAAAAAGGTGATTATTTTATAAGACTGACCATTGCTATTGCATCTGAAATTAGACTTCTGATGCAGTGACGTTTTACCTGGTTGGCCACAGCAATAAGGTCTAAGCCCTGTACGAAGGCCATCGCTGGGCAGGTGACAGACGGTTCCGTCATCCCAGGTCCCTGGATCTGACTGGGCCGCTTCTCCTGGGTGGCGTGCCAAACCTGCCCGAGGACTTCCCCGTGCGGAACCTGGACTTCGTGGGCTGCATGAGGAACCTGACGATCGATAGCAAGCCTATGGACATGACCAGCTTCATAGCCAACAACGGAACCACCGCAGGTCCAGCCCGGCCCGACCCGGTCTTACATCGGCCCTTTCGCGTTTCACTAGAACTCAGTAGATCCTGTAATAATTGATTTGAACTTTTACCTTACAGGTAATATTTGCACTGTCAGTACAATTCACTTTAAATGTTGCATGTACAAATATTCTTATTTTAGTATTTATGTAATTTATTTGGTCAGAATATTTTGTCCTATTTATCCATTTAAACAGTTTAAAGGAGCCCTTAAGATGCAGAGTCTCCCTTTTACAAATGAGCACCCTTCTGACGGCACTGCTCATCAAAGCCGCTTCTGAAAGCTGTTGTCACGGTGACCGCCTGTTTGTCAGGAAGTGCCTGACATCACCCAATCCCGCTTTAGGCTGTGCCGCGAAGAGGGACTTCTGCAGCACATCTGTGTGCCAGAACGGGGGCACATGCGTGAACAGGTGGAACACATATTACTGTAACTGCCCACTGGGCTACGGAGGCAAGAACTGTGAGCAAGGTGAGGCATACTCCGGCCAGCAGAGGGCGCTCTTTTGGTATTTTGGGGAATTTTGACTACTCCACTGGATACATCACCTACAAAACCCACCCCATGCTCACAACATCCACCGTATCTAGATACCCATGTTGTGTTATTCCCTTGACTAAAATTTCTTCCAATAATTCAAACAAAAAGGTCAGTCTTAAGCATTTATACTGGAACCTAAGGTGACTGTGCTAGTATGGCTTAGGGTGCAGAGGAAGAGCTACTGGATTCCCCGTGAAGGTCGTACCTCCATGGCCAGCATGAGCAGCAGCAGCTTAATGCTCCTGGTCCAGCAAAACTCTAAATGAGGCTTATTGCCTAAGCTGATGCAGAGGATGGAGATCATGCCCACAGCTTTTGGCACAATGTTGCAGCACAGGAGTAATGGGTGTCCGTCCAAGCGACTTTGTCATGTGACCTGTGACAATTCGATTATTGGGTCTGACGTGACATTGGTATGGCTTTCATCTTCCTGCTCATCCTGCCCCCAGCCATGCCGTCCCCCCGGCACTTCGACGGACATGCCCTGGTGTCGTGGTTCGACCCGGACATCACCATCACAGTCCCCTGGTACATGGGCCTGATGTTCCGGACCCGGCAGAGCCACGGGATGCTGATGCAGGCTAATGCCGGAGCCTCTTCCAGAGTCAATCTTCTGGTGAGTGAGAGTCACCGGTGCGGTGGTGCCGTGTGACAGGGCACGGATGGGGAGCCAGTGCGGCAGGGATGGGGAGCCAGTGCGGCTGAGCTGGGGAGCCAGTGCAACAGGGATGGGGAGCCAGTGCGGCAGGGATGGGGAGCCAGTGCGGCTGAGCTGGGGAGCCAGTGCAACAGGGATGGGGAGCCAGTGCGGCAGGGGTGGGGAGCCAGTGCGGCTGAGCTGG